AGTGGAAACTCGGCATTAGTATTTATTTAGTACTTTATTTTGAAAGTGGCATTAGTCACTTCATACCTCGTGAGCTTAAATTACCGGCTACTTGTAAACGAATGCATCTGTAAATCGTTATATCGTCATAAACTAACGACAAAACCTTTTCGGTTTAGAAAAACCTTGTATTGAATGTAGCTGGGATCAAGAATTAGGACCGTTTGCACTACGTCTAGTTAACACTAATTGGAGATACATGCTTCAGTTAAACACAACGACTGCTTTATCGATCACAGGTTATAGTTATGCTGGCTGTCGATAACGATGTTTAACTGGAAACTTCCAGACATGTTGCAAACGGCCCTTACTGTCTGTGGCACATTTTAAAGATCCTACCTACTAAGGAGACTGAGGCTAGAGAAAGGAAATAATCAACACAAAGTCCGCAGATCCATTTTACAACCAAATTTTGGCGGCCTTCCATCAGCTCAAACAAGGCACTCAGAATACTCCTTAACAAAAATGCGCCGGATATCACCCGACAGTCCTATTCTCTAATTCTTCTCGTAGGTTGTGGACCACAACTACCTACAGATGGCGTGAGAGAATACCTCCTGAGTACCACGAAACACTTGTCTTCGGAAATACAAAGGTGCCACCCCAAACGCGTTATCACATCTGTTTCGACTCCAACCTGATGAAGGATTAAAAAACTGCCTTCAGCATAACGTTATTCAAGTTATTACCAAATTCGAGGAGGACGCTAACTGCGTAGTCTCTGTGCAAAACAAGACTCTTTAATATCTTCGAAAATCGTGTTTAACGGCGCATCTCGCACATCGCTATGTTTATCGCGTTCCCTGTCGTGAGCTAAGTGTCGTACAATGTAGGGACAAAAGTTGTGGAGAATGAAATATGCGAAACAACAAAACAAAAAAAAAAGAACATTAATTTATTGAATTTTCCTGAGTTCTGCACGAAGTTTAGAAACTATGTACACTGCCTGCAAAAAGTATTGGCACAGCAAATTTTTCACAATATATATAACAATTTTTATTCTAATATTTTTACGCCAATTTTGAATAAAAATATGGTTTATTCTACAACAAAAAACATAAAATATAATTCCTAAACTTTGTGCAAAACTCACGAAAATTCAGCAAATTTTCATGCAAATTTTCAAATCTTTAATCAGATTTTTTAGAATTTTGCAGATTTGTAGCCCAATCAATTTTATTATAATAAAGTACAAGTTTTAAGTAGCTAGGAATAACCGTCGATTTTTGGCAATTTTTTTTCACGCAGTCCCTTCCATACAAACTTTTTTTTTCGAAAATACTTTATATGGAAAAAATGCAAAACACCTTCAACAAAAAAAAAATCTCAAAAATAAATGCGATTTTTGACTAACTCCGATTTCCGAATTTAATGGGCTGCAAAACTGCATCAAAAAAATTCTAAAAAATCTGATTAAAAAGTTGAAAATTTGCTGAATTTTCGCGAGCTTTGCACAAAGTTTAGGAATTATATTTTTATGTTTTTTGTTGTAGAATGAACCATATTTTTATACAAAATTGGTGAAAACGTTGCTGTGCCAATACTTTGTTCCGGGAGTGTACATAAATTTTTATGCTTTTGTTGCATTTTTACTAAATTTTGATGACTTCTTTTGGCATTTGTTAAATTTTCCTGATTTTTTTTCGAATCTACTATATATATTTTTGTAAAAAATTTACAAAAAAATATATCATGTATAAAATTACAGGTCCATTCAATATCAAAGAATTGTTACAAATTTTACTAGTACTGGGAAGTTTTTACTAGAAATGCATTCAATAACCCAAAATATTTGCAAGAGAGAGCGAATTCGAGAGCGTAACAACCCGAGCTGCAAATTCTTGCAAGTAAAAATTTTACTAGCAGGAATTTGCAGGAGTCAAAAAGTAAGGTTATGTTTCAAATTCAAATGTAAACAAACTGTTCAAGAGGATGATTTGATGAAACATAATTAGGTTTTTATGAGTGACGGTCTCAATGAAACATAATTAGTGAAATGAATATATGGATGAAAAAGTTAAATCTATTGTATATTTTTTTATTTTTATTTCCAATAAAAAAAAATTGTGCGCCAAAACTTAACCGGTAGAAAGTGTCAAAATGGCTTAAGTTGCAAGTTTTTAATAGTTTTGCGTTCAATAACTTTTTCTGAAAATTTTCTCTTGCTCTCAATTTTACTCTCTGTTTTTCTTTTACGCTCTCGCTGGAAAAGTTATTGAATGGACCTTATAAATATTGGCTAAAATAAATGTGTATTATTTACGTGAGCGCCACTCGCATATCGAAACATGTGCTATTGCCGGCGATTTCCTTCTTCACTGCTTCTCACACAATTTCTTAATAAGCTGGTAAGAGCGCACGTAATTTTAAAATCGGTACGAAAAATATTTGAAAAGAAAATTAAAAAACAAATGTTCAACAATACTAAAGCCAAGTTGAAAGCAGCAACAACAACGAAAACCCCATGTGACATAAATAAATAATGACAGCGCGCGCAGATTGAATTGGGGTCAAGGTTATTGCTATTACTTGGCACGCGCGAGTTTATGGTTTACCGGCCGCAGTCGCTGAACTAGTGAAATGTGTATGGAAATTTTACTAATTTATTGAAGTTTTATAATATGTAGTTACTTGGTTCGGTGAAAGGCATATGTAGATATGTGCATGCATATGTGTATATGTATAAACCCTGCAGTTAAAAATTATCAATTGATAAAAATAACCAGCTTAAGCTTTTTTGCGGGATTTCACTATAACTTTTATTAAACAATTTTTATTGAGCTTGAGGCCTGTTGGAATATATTAACTACCTTGATATGTACTCAACATATATTCATTGTAACCTAATTCTCTGTATGAGTCAAAGAAAATGTTCAACTGTTAAACATTTTTAATTCCAAAATATACTTTCATTCAACAAAGATCTTTATAGAAAACTTTAACTAGTTTTATTTCCATACGATCCTTGGACTTCTAATAAGGCCGTTTAAATTTCCACAATAATTTTTCATAAAAATGGCCAAAAAATAACAAAAAACCATATATAACTTTTAGTTAACTACAACAAGCTAACTTGAAACTAGTTGAAAACTAATGCAGGAGTAATGCATATGTAATCGAGGGATTGTTTTCTTTAAATAAGTTTCTATTTAAATATCCTCATACAAATTTTACTTTGAATACACTTTTTTCTGCACTTTACAAATACTTTATCGAATTCAGGACAAATAAAATGAATGTCCAAAATTGTGTTAATTACAAGTTAGTTGGCACATATACAGAGGTAACCAACCGCGGAAAATATACAGATAATAGTGACCCTTTAGTTCCTTCCTAATCAACTTCAAGTTTACTTATAGTTAGATACATTTTCTGCAAGATACTAGGGCTGGGTATATCCGTATTTTCGGATAAGTGTGTTTATACATATGATTTCACTTGGTTATCCGGATATTTGGATTTTTGAATAGATTATTCGGATTATCCGTATATTAGAAAAATTCGGACAGAACTCTCAGCCCTGCTACATTCAGGTGTTTTGAAGAGTTTTGGACAGCTAAGAAAGCGATTTTATCTGAAAAAAAAAAATCAATTTAAAAATATGTTTTATGTACCACATATGTATAAATGGACTAAAAAGTAGAGAATAATTTTTTCTACACCCATAGAATTTGTCTTTATAAGTTTTGATTTTAAAATTTTGTCAAATGTCACAAACAATTTATGAGATTTAAAATGAAAATGTGATAAGGCCAGTATGCAGCTCTAAAGAAAACGGTCAATAAAAAAATTGGCATTATTTCGTATGTGTTTCATATCTGATACTTCACCAGCCTGTTGCCTTCATGCGGGATTTACATGAAAGATACAATTTTAAGCCAATGTAAACGCTTTCTACTATCTTTTCAGTCCTCTCCTAAACTGAGACTGATAGATTACGTAGACGTTTCAATGTTCACAATACTTAAGTCAATTTCACATACATACACAAATTCATATTGTCGCGTATCGTCATTCTGCAAAACCGCGTAAGTGACATTTGCTGCCAAAAATTGGATTTGCTCACACAAGCTCTTGGCTCAATCCTTATCCATTCGTCCTGAAATATACTAGCCAAAAATGCGATTGCTTTTTAAAAAAGAGAACCAATATGAAATATGAGTGTTTTACTCTTTAGAAAATAATTTATGCAATGCGGTTGATACGCGGTTTTGTTCTTTAAACGACGATATGTACAAGCAAGCAATCAATTTAACCTGCTACTCCATCGATTTAACTTTTTACCTTGGTACAAGTTTGTAATTAGCGAAACGCAAATTGTCTGGAAGCATTGTTTTGGAATGTGCTCGTATATAGTAGAAAGATAGATATCGTCGCTTGGCGTGCAATACAGCGTATATAATAGTCCGAAAATTTCAAAAAAGTGCAAATAGACTTATTTTCTTTTAAACTTTTGAATGGTTTTCTAACTGAACTTATAAAATTTGTGAAATAGGCTAGCACTGGGAAAGGGTACCGAAAATAATTTTTTTTCTCAGCCACCGTATATGCGGTATTGCACACCAAGCGACGATATGTTTGAACATACGTGGACAAAAGTGTTCGTCATTTATCATATCGTCATTTGGCGTGCAATACCTCATATCCGCCAAATGCAATATCACGTATAAGGTGGCATAGAAAAAAATTATTTTGGTTACCATGTCTCAATGCTTCTCTACTTCACAAATTTAATAGTGTATAATTATAGTAGAAGCTCATATTTAGTAAATTTAGTTAGAGAACCATTCAAAAGTTTTGAAGAAAGTTAGTTTATTTGCCCTTTTATGAAATTTTCGGAGTATCCTATAGCAGGAAGAAAGGAAACATTTTAAGTAGGCAGGAATTGCCTATATCAAAGCGCTACATGGTTTTGACAGTAAACGAAGCATATCAGCTTTTTAAAAAGGAACTCAAGGATTTTGACATTAGCAAAACAAAATTTTATGCGAAAAGACCAAGATCAACGGTAATAAGGTTAATTGACTTTTGCACCAGTATGCGAAATAGCGTAATTGACGTTATTTCCGTTCATCTTGTTACCTGTCACATACTATCTACTCTGGCCTTAAGTGATTTGTATTATTTACAATAAACCTCATATTTGCATAAAAAAAACGAGTGTGTTTAAATTCTTAAATAAAAAATTTTATCTCATTGGAAAAAATCGGAACGTCCGAACCACTTTGCACAGTTTTTGACAGTTATTAAACATCGTTGGGATGTTTAAGTTGACGCAATGGTTATGGCTACTCATTATTCTAACAACCATTTTTTGTACCGTTAACCGATTCGCAGAATTTTACAAGAATCATCAGTCATCTTCGATACGAGTTCCATTTTGGGAACGTCCGAAGGGGTTCTTTTAATCGCTATGCACTTACCATACATATAACATTTGTGGAAAATATTTTTATTGGTTTCAGAAAGGTATTGATGATGACCACTCATGACAAAAAAATTGAGTTCATTCAGAGCCTACTATAGGTTTTATGATGAAAAAACCAGTAGATCTATTGTGCCCTCAGTTCGTCACGAAACCTCAGCTAGCCCTAGAGACTCTATAAATCTCAAAAAAGATCCCGGGAGTTAGCGTTGTATGTGCTCTCTCTTGACCACAGATGCCCAGATGCGGAGACACAGAAGCGACATAGGTCGCTTGAACAGCCCTTCTCATTGGATGAGATTTAAAAAAGGATACAATACATAAGCGGTGATTACGCCAAACATCACTTCGAAGTAGTACATATCTTTGTAACGATCCAAAACTTTGGCTAGCATTTTAGCATCCTGAATATCACGGGGTATTTTAATGTGTTGCTTCTCCGACCTGAAAACAAAAAACAAAGTAAAAATTAATGAAATAAAATTCAAAAGAGAGCTGCACAACTGTGGGAATGTGAGAATGTATCTTTGTATATGTATGTATGTATGTATTTATATATAAGTATATTTGCATTTCCAACGACAGTTGTATACACAAAAAAAAATTACAATAAAATGTTTATTTAACACTTGTCGCTGCTTGGCACCGCCAAGTGCCAGCGTGGTGTTATAAGAACACAATCTTTTTTTTAAATTTATTACGTTATGACGTAGTGTATACATACATATATGCATGCATATGTAGTTATTTGCAATTTCGCAGCCACGAGTGCAAATACAATTTCAGTTGGATATAGACTGCTTTCTTTTAAAATTACAAAATACATACTGGCCACAAAAATTATTAAAGTGTAATATGTATTAAGGAAATTACATTGAGAAGAAACGTGACGATGGCGTCTGCAGTCTAACAGAGATTCGCAAATATGAAATTTTTAGCAGCTGTAAATTTTTTAGTAGCACGCGTAATGCAATAAATTAGATGACTTCATACAATACGAATTCAATTCAGATGTTTAAATTTGAGGCGGTGAAGGTATTATCAGTTAAATAAGTAATTAAAATTATTATGTCGTTATCATTATGTTAAGCTTTTGTAGAAAGATTTTTTTCACAAGACAATTGACCGATAAGTCTTTAGTTTTTTAAATGCATGCATGCTTCCGTTACGTAGAACCCAATGTCGTAGGAACGAGTCGTTGGATTATAATCGTTTGAAGGTCTACTTCTTTTCGAAAAGTCGGGCGAAAGGTTACTAGCTATTTTTTAAATCGAATGTGGTATCCTTATAGCAGTGCAAAATCTATGAATTGCAACTGAGATTACTGTTTTTGTTGCATCAGTATACAAAATTCCCAGGAATTTGGGGTCGGAGGCGCTGTTTCAAGTCGTTCCTGCTTTGTAGAAACCAGAACTTTGAGATCGATATACTCGAAAACCTTTAGAAACATTCAACTGGTCATGTAAAAATACAAAATGACACATGCTAGGTGGTTTTGTAAAAATCGCATATACAGTATCGGTCATATCAATAGCACCACCATTTCAAAGTGGTATTGTTCGCCAGTTATACTTATATGTTTAATTATCTATTTTTTAGAATTTTCATTTAAAATACAATTCATTCTCTAACAAATCCCATATAAACCCAAGATTAAAACTTTGTAAAAAAACTAAAAAAATTCAATAAATTGTCACCCAAACTTCAAATCTTTATCTCAAGAGTGTAAGATTCAATTTAAGTCTGATAATGTGCAAGTTTCAAGTGGCTTAAAATTATTGTTGATGTTTTAGAATTTTTTTTCGCATTTGCTTTCATACATTACATACAATTTATTTTTATAAGAAAGAAACCAGCAACAGCTTCAGAAAAAAAAAACCTATCATTAACCCTAGCATCGTAAGACAGTTTTACCCTACGTTATTCGTAACAGACGTAGAATGAAAATATAAAGTTTTAAAAGCATTATAAAGCATTAACCGTCTAAGTCGACTTAAAAAAGAATTGACTTAGATATGCTATCGTATTCTGCAACTACTATTCCATGTGTAGGTGAAATCCCCTTCTCGCCAGCCAGGCTATTTAAAAAGTTATAAATGAACATATTTTGGTTTCCCCATAAGGTTAACATTACAATCCAAATGTTTAAAACATTTTTTCTCGAATTCAGGTTTTTCGTCTTAGGCGATTTTTGCTTATGACCATAGAAATACAGAAAGCACTGTCGAGCGCACACAGCGATAGGGCATAACGACTAAAAATAACGGGACTTTTTATGCGGCGTACACCTAAAATTTACGTACATATATTACGAATGCAGGGTTGAAATATCACAATTAGCAATTAATTAATTGTTAATTAATACCACTACAATTAACAATTAATTCATTTTAAATGTTTAAATGTCTCCTCTACAATTAAGGAACTTACTACTCAACCGATCATCATGAAATTTTGTACACTGATGTCATTTAGCCCAACTTAAATTATAGCATAGATTTAATCCCGGATATACAAGGGGGCGTGGCACCGCCCATACAAACTGAATTTTTCATACTGCATATCGCAGGAAATATTTATGATACGAGTACTGGAATTTGGTATTTAGATATATAAAATCGATTCCACACCCATGGAGGAAAGTTGCCACCTGTTTAAAACATCAAATTCAACTTGAATTAAGGGATTTATTTATTTGAAAATGATATTAAACAAATGGATGTAGTGGAGTTTAAAAAAGTTGTAGTTTAAAAATATTTTGAAAATGGTTGCCACCTATTTGAAAGGTCACATTTAAATTAGTTATTCGCAAGCTATCTGAAAAATTAAAATATGGATGTCGAACCAAAGATTGTTAAGAAACTTTCAGATTGAACATTTGGAATATTATTGAGGTGTTTTCCTAGGGTTGCCTCCCGAAAAAAATTTAGTTGAATTAATTTAAACAAGTTACAGCAATACGGGTGTCAATCGAAATGTTTTTGAAAGGGGTTGAAGTTCTAAGCAATATGAAAGATGGTTGCCACCTATTTGAAAAATCAAATTCTACTTGAATTAAGGGAATTAGATATGTGGAATATGTGTCACAATATAGGTGTTAGACCAAAGGGTTTAATAAGGTATTAGTTGGAAAATATTAAAATTCAATTTCAATTATAGGAATTCGGTAATCTGAATGCATATGTTGTATGCATATGCAAACAGTCGGCTCTACGTAACACTCCCCAAAAAGCCTATTGAGAATTTGTCACAACAACAAACTGACAATAAAATTAAAATATATTTAAAAAGATTAAATAGTACATACATATGTACATACATAGGTATGTACTTCTATACATATGTATATACAGTCAGTCAATATAGTTTAGGTACCTACAGCGAATTTTTTGCAATACGGGTAACTATTTTCTAAATATATTATTTTTTGCTAATTTTTTATAAAAATATGGTTAATTATGCAACAAAAATCCTAAAATCAGAGTTCCAAACCTTGTGGCAAATTAAAGAAAGTTCTGCAAACTTTCATTTAAATATTGCACTTTTTATTTACACTCTATAGAAAAAAGTTGAGTATGCGGTTTTTAGCCCATTAAATTTTAGTATAATAAAGTGCAAGACTGAGGTAGCTAGGACTTACCATTGATTTTTAAAAAATTTTTTGGTGTCGCTCTTTTTTTCCATATAAAAAAATTATCGTAATATGTAGTCTGATATTTATAAGTACCTCAAAAACATATATGTAATACTCCTATATGAGCTAGTACCGTCCGAAAACACTACAGTACAGATATATCAATAAACACGTACGAAAGAAAAGGAACACATAAGTTTATAAATAAACATGTACACAACACATATACAAAAACGACACTCAATTACATGATTCAATTATTAAAGGTTTTGTAAGTAGCTTTTTTCTAAAATTTGGCACTCCCACCCACAGGGATGGTTTATGGAAGCAGGAGAAAAAGGGGAAGAATTCAATCACACTTCCTAAAATGGGAGCTAAATTCCATAAAAAGGTGTGGATAATAGTGAATGGTGGTATTTTAAAACAAAAGCGAATTTGATTTAATTTACATTGAATTTCTGTAGTCCAACGATGCTCAACCATTTTGTCTTGTTGGCGCCAGCGAATGAAGAACAAACATTTCTTCAATTTTAAAAACCCACTAGAACTTGAAGGGAGATCTCCCTATGTGAGGAATAAAAGAGTACTCCCCTTAACCTGACTTCTGAGCAATAAGAGAGATTTGTCGGTTTTGTACTCCTTTATTACTCGTTTAGGAGTCAAATAAGAGATCTCTTAAGCAAGCGACGAAATAATGCTCCCTGAGGCATGATTTGGGAGCAGTAAACGAGATTTCTCGGTTTTGTACTCCTGTATTGCTCGCTTAGGAGCTTAATGAGAGATCTCCTAAGCGAGCAATTAAAGAATGCTCCCTGAGGCATGATTTGGGAGCAATAAGCGAGATTTGTCGGTTTTGTACTCCGTTATTACTCGCTTAGGAGCAAAAAGTGATGTCTCCTAAGCGAGAAATCCAAGAGTATTCTTTTTGATTGATAGGAGAGCAATACGCACCTCACTCAAAAGAAATTTGTGTGTTTCGAAAAAATTTATTATACAAAAAAAAACAACAGAAAATATTTCTTATAGAAGCATAAGGAGCACACAATAATTTTATTTGGATAGCACACAGATTTTAATAAAAGTCCGTTGGTATGTACTTCAACTTTTGTTTAAATATATTAAGTATGTATTGTATTACTTGTAAATACACCCTTAAATACTTTTCAGATTGCGCAAATTAGTGTCAGCATTTAAGTGTGACCCCCGGGTTTTAAACATCGCATGGGTGACAAAGATGTCAGATAAGCGAAGTCACCTTCACAATTTCCCCGCTTGGTGGATTCCTGAACTGGCAAGCATCCTTGACACCCAGGAAATCATATAGGAGTACATACTTATATGTGCATATAGGTGCATATAATTGAAATCTTATCTTACCGTTTTGTTATTATTATGTTTTAATTTCATATATTTCTAAAATTAAGCAATTATGTAAGACGTATCATTTATGTTTTATTTTTAAGATCTTGTAATTTTGCACAAATGCACGTGATTAAAAAGTGAAATAAAAAAAATTTAATAAATAGCGAAATCTATTTGGCTAATGTATAAATGTTCGTTATCATTGTTCTCTTATTACTCCTACAGGAGGCTTTCGGGATGCATCTAATGGGAGCGCTCCTTTATTGCTCGTTCGGGAGGAATATGGGATGTTTTCTATGTGCACTCCCTTGTTGTCTTTTTGGGAGGTTTCTGGGAGGTAACTATGGGAGTACTCCCGTATTGCTCCATTAGGAGGTTTGTGGGATGATAATTCTATGTGTGCTCCGCGATTGCTCGTTTAGGAGGTAAAAGGGATTACTCCCCATCCTAGGACATCCAATGTTAAAGGGAGTATACAAAATTACATGCTTATACACAGAAGCATAGGGAGCAATGGGGAGTATTCGTATACTCCCAAGGGAGTACTCACCGAGCAATCGTACGATGCTCCCAAGTTCTACTGGGAAGTAAAAATTTCACTACTAACAATTTAAAAATGTTCTTAAAACTTGCAAAGATATTTGGAAAAGAAATATCACTGTTTTTGTTTTTAGGAGTAGGGTGGGAGTGTCATTGATAAAATTAGAGCGAGAGAAAGTTTTTCTTACAAAACCTTTCATTATTGAATCATGCATTTTCTCATTTTTAGTAAATGCGTGACAAACTTATGGGTATAAATGTGCGGGAATATTTATAGAAAAATTAAGACTAAAGGCGCGAATTAGTGACAAAACAAAATAAATAATAATTTATATGCTAATGATTTTGAAGTGACCAACCCAACAGATCGCAGAAAATACAAATATGTATATGTATGTATCTATATACATATCGTCGTTTAAAGCTAAAACCGTGTATCAACAAAAGGCAAAACCGCGTACCTATCAAGATAATGCAAAACCTCGTATGTGAGGTTGCATAAATTATTTTCTAGAGAGTAAAAACACTTATATTTCAAAATGATTTTATTTTTTTATAAAGCAATCGCATTTCTGGATGGTATATTTTAGGACGAATGGATAAGGATTGAGCCAAGAGCTTATGTGAGCAAATCCAATTTTTGGCAGCCAATGTCAGTTACGCGGTTTTGCAGAATTACGATACGCGGTTTTGTACTTTAAACGACGATATGCATGTATGCAGTACTTACTCATCCAATTTGGGAAATATCATGTATACGTAGACCATGACGAGCAAGCTCGATATAAAGATCGCGGCTAGTATGACTAGAGATCGCTTTGTTGCATTTCGCTCATCGTCGGACATTGCTTGCTTTTGCATTTTTGGAGGATTTTGTTTATCTTCCAACGCAGTGTTGGTCACAGACTGGGAGCCTGCCGTTGTCGCTTCATTGCTACTGGCCATTAAGCGGCCGGAACTGGATTGCATATGATCATTGACAGGGAGATCTGCAAAATAAACGAGGGAGAAGGCAGTTATTGGAGTCCTAGATTTCATTTTGGACATGCATATGTATTCGAATCTCGTAAAAATTACCTTTCGTTTTTGTTGCTGTGGCGGCGGCGGCTGTAGCAGTCGCTGTTTCAGCTGCTGCATCCAAAAACTGGGCGTTTTCAAACTCCATTGATGTAATCGAGGTCTTTAAACAACTTGCGCTTTTCCCCTTATTTATCTTTAACTTGGGCTAGAAACACGTTCACCAATCGCCAATGGATTCGTTTTAACACACACACTACCTTAATATATATTTATTTTCTTTGTTTCATTTTTCTATTTCACGTTTTTTTTTTGCTATTTGTTGACTTCCGTGTTTACCTATTGCACACTTCTACAAAAAAAAAAAAATTCTGTGCTGTAAAAATTATCACAAAATGCCAATTATAATTTATTGCTTGTATGGCACTTGCATTTTTCGCATAACTTTTTTTGTGCGAAGATTTCGACACTTGTATAATTGTGCACTTGTTTATTTATACCACAAATTCGACTGCACCTAATTTAAGTAATTAAACTCCGCCCTATCGCAATCACACGGAATTTTCCACCTCAATTTTGTTATTTGCTGTTCACTTTGCGAATGCCCTATCGGCCACCTCAAACAAATGAAATCCAATCAGCGCATGCAAGTGACTGCAGAGTCTTCTTCTTTTTAACCACAGAGATGGCAATCAACTTCGTACTGTCAACTTTGACATCAAGCACAAATATGACAGTTAGCTTGTTGATTGTCTAAAAGCACTGTTTGCATTGATCGTTTAACAACACTTTTAACCAATATGATTCGATCCCGCTCAGCTGGTTTAATTACAGCACATAAACAAATCATTCGATTTAAATTTAAACAACAAGCGGGAGATTACACTTGCCTCTACGGCAAAATGGATAGCTATTTTGCTGGCGAAATCGCAATATCCGCTTCTCAGGCAAATTTGGAAGTTACGCTTTTGGGTGGACAAAGTTTTCGGTTAGTATAGGTGCTTGTATTTTTTGCATTCTAAAAGTGAATTTATTTATCTTAGTTGGAGGAAAGTAGGATCAGCTGATTCCAATTTTCCGGAATTACATGGAGTTGCCTACAATGCATACTGGGAATTGAGCCAAAGCGCTGCTGCTATTTCCTACAAAGTTTATCCAATACCACAAAAGACCACTAAGTTTCCGCGCAAACATGACTACTACAGAGACTTGTTGCGTCGATATTTGCGGCTTGACTTTGATTTGAATAAAAATCTGGACAGTTGGCGTGCAGCACATGAACATTTTTCAACTATTACGCCGCACATGAAAGCGGTTCGTGTACTGGATCAAGAGCCACTTGAGAATATACTGTCGTTCATTTGCAGTCAAAATAATCATATTAAAAGGTAGGAGTTAGTATGGTAAAATCCGCAAAAAACTCTCAGGTTAGAAAAAGTATTTTTTAAGTTGTTGTTGTAACAGCAAACAGAGTCCCCAAAGAGTTTTTGGGGAGAGTCGCTTAAGTGACAGTCCTTGGCCAGATATAAATCTGGGTCGTTTCGGTTACGTAGACCCGGCTCTCGCGGGAACGGTATTTTTTAAGTTACCTTTATCCCTTTGAAAAAAAAGCTTCAACTACAGAGATTTTTCGATGTTAAGATGAGCGCATACCTTTGTGGTTTTGGTTTCCCGGATAAATCATTTACAAATGCGAACATTTATCGATTTTACAGCAGTTTTGAAGGCGCCGAACAGGCTGTGATGGTCAGCTTCAATATTTCTTATATTAATTAATTTTTTAATTTTAAGAAGTCTGAAATTGAAAATGTTGAGACATACATATGTACTGTTACAAAATCGCGCGTAAGGTTTTTTGTTGTTAATATTCGCAAAGTTTTAGATGCAAAATTTTTTTGTTAATGTATTAAAATATGGCTTATATTTTAGCAAACTTCATTTAAATCCAATAATAAAACTGTGTACGAAAGTTAACAAAAATCTCCAAAGTTTCAGCAAAGTCGCAAACTTTTTAATAAGAATTTCTAAAACAATTCAGCTATGCAGTTATATAGCCCATTTAATTTTAGTATGATAATGTGCAAATTTCAAATGTCTAAGAATTCGTGTTGATTTTTGAGATTTTTTTTTCTGACTTTCCTACGCATTTTTTCATATAAAAAAATTCTGAAAATACTTTAATGGAAAAAAATGCGTAGGACAGTCACTTGAAGTTCCAACATTATTACACTAAAATTTAAAGGGCTATAGAGCTGCATAACTGATTTTTTTTTTAGAAATTCTTGTTAACAAAAAAGAACCGTACGCTCAATTTTGTATGTAACAGTATGTGTCTTAAGCTTATAGAATATTCAACGCCAGAACGGGCAACTGAGCATAAGTAGGCCCATTTTGAGTTTAAACATCCAAATATTCCTAATTTTCGTAGAAATCTACTGGGGTATTCACAACGGTGTCGTATTGCTGTATGTCGTAAACTTTAAACGCCTAAAAAATATATTACGGGGGTTCGCAAAGTACCATCAAAGTGATTTTATGCATTTTCGCTTAATTAACCACATAATAACAATAATAATAGATCGGCTCTTACACATATGCTAGTGTTTGGCCGAGCTTCTCCTTCGATTTGTGGTGTGCGCCTTGATGTTGTCACACAAAGCGAGAACCTACAGTTTTACGCCGACTCAGAACGGCGATTGTATTTTTATGAGAAGCTGTTTAACCACATAACCACATTACCTTAATTCACAGATATACGATGTTTTTTTTTTATTTGATTGTTCCAAAAGTTGTGATCGCAGGAGATCGGGCTATTCTGCACTTCGAAGATAATAGGAAAAGCAACGTACTTCAAGAATTCAAAAAGAAAATGCCGACATTCATTTCGTCTATCTTCTGTTGTAATTCATGATTGAATAGCGCGATAAAATAATAACAGTGCTCCTTGTGTTGTGTTGAAAGCTTACACAGGACAACATTGATTTTGGTGCGGCAAATGTTAAAGCTGTGTTTGATAGGATTTTTTTGTGCATATTACGAAGCCGTAAGTATAAAGTTTCCATCAGGTCCAGATTTTGAGAAAGACGACGTCAAACTGTCAAAAAATCGCGTTTTTTGCAATATTTTAGGAGCTCTAACAAAGAAAGAAAACGTGATAAAAGCTTCCACTTGGGCTTAAATCTAGAACTCTCGACTACTGCCCCTGAAAATACCATCCCTGCATCTTGACCCAAAGGTCACTTATAGTCATTTATTGAACAGCAAAATCAGATTTTAACAAAAAATGTTTTCCAGTATTTTTTTATTGTTCAATAAATGACTATAAGTGACCATATATCTATAGCTAAGAGAACAAAATGGAAACAAAAGTTTCCGGAACGATCTGACAAAGCACAAAACGGGAACAAAAGTCTTAGCAACTGTTTCTCGAAGAACCATTTGCGAACTAAATTCTGAGGTACTTTCTGACAGAGAACGAACTGGAACAAATCTTCTATGAACTATTCGCGAAGAATAGAAGCGATAACAAAATTTTTCTCATAGCGTTCCATTAGTTTGGAATGATGGAATATTAAAATTAAACAAAAAAGAACTGAAAGATAATTATGCAAATAAAATCAACGAAAGACTTAAGACACAAACTTTTCTTGCACAGAAAATGAACATTTTTT